TTTATTATTAATAACGTAATTTTCTTTTTAAGTTCACACTCTAATCAATCTCAAAAAAAACTATTACTACTAATACACCAGAAGTTGTATTATGCAATTTGACTAAGTTAATGAGATACGATATTTTTATATATGTATATGTATTGAAATGGATTTTTAAAAGATTTTCTTTTTAAAAGTAACCGTGAATGATTTTTTTTTTTTTAGTGAATTAATCTCCTACCTTTTTTCAGGTGATTGATCTAATTTAAAAATATAAATTTTAAGATATGCTTTTATCATATTATTATTTGTTGGCGAGCACACGAAGACAAAAAAAAAATGTAATAATTTTAGTGAAATTAAATTGAAAAAAATATATACATTATTATCATAATGATTTAATTTGGTGAGGGCTTATCAAATAACTTCTTTTTTAATTTCAATGTGTTTGAGCTACTTAATTTTATTGGTTCACCGTTATACTCTTCCGAAAATAAGCAAGAAAGCAAGAAAATGAAACAAGTTCATCTCTCACGTACCAAAACATTAATTGCAAAGCATTAAAAAGCATAATCACCCTAGAAAATATGACAAATATGATGTCGCTACATATGTGGCCTAATAAATACTTTTAAGTGCAAATTGTATCGATATAATCGAATTGATAAATAAAACTATCACATAAAAATTAAATGAGGAAGACATTACATAATTAAGTATTTTCATTATGATTTTAATAAAGAAAACGTTACAAAATTGAATTATTATTAATTGTACATAACGTTTTTTTTTATGAAAAACTATTTATAAATATAAGCAGTTTTGTTGGGTCCCTGAGCACATAAAATCTCTTTCAATACATTGCTCTATCGTGTGAGGTTCTTGAGTGCTTAGAAGAATTTAACCCAAAGAAGAAAAACAAATCAACTCTTCAAATAAAGTAATGACGGGAAGTATTTATTGATCTTTTGTTTCCGTTAATCTTTATTTATTTTGTCATTTAAATATGTTAAATGTTTATATAACTTATAATTATCACATGAAAAGTAGTAGATGTTCACAAAATTTTCGTTAAGCAAATAATAACTTTTGTAATAAGAAGTTTGACAAGATTGACAAAAGTCTCTACATTGAATGTGTTTTATTGACCGACTTTTCTTAAATAATGATTTTTTTACTTGATATTTTTATAATTCACTGCAAATTTTATCCATTTGGTGTTTACTGTTCACTTGGCACTTTGTTTCCACTAAGGATTTTTTTCATTGATGTTGACTTTACCCCTATATGAGGTTACGTTTTCCTCCTTTAAGAAAAAACTTTTCTTTTTACCCTTTGTACGTTACTATTCATGTGGCATTTTACATCCACCAGGAGTTCTTTTCATTTGATGTTAACTCCACCCTGATGCGAGGTCATGTTTTCCTTCGTTACAAATATATGTTGGAGACATGTTGTGAATCAAGATCTCTATGCATTAAAGGATGATAAAATATTGATTTTCGAATCTTACTACATTATAAGCTTTTCGTTGATTTCATATGTGTTTATAAAATTAACTGTATCCATAACAATGTTGAGCACTTTTAAAACACCTTTTGATGTAAAAAGCTTTAATTGCTAATCAATAATTTTTGCATACATAACAAAGAACTATATTGGTTATATATAAACAACACTTTCTACATGGGGGCCTCTATGCAAGTGTTAGTAAAGATGTCATAAATTTTTAATAAATCATATATTGATCATGTTTGGAGACTAAAAAAGTATTTTTCTGAACTTAAATAGGGTTATAAAAACTAGTTTAAAAAGCTCTAAAGCTTTATGTTGTTGATTTATTCTTTAATCATGCTAGTTTATGTAAATGATATAACTATTGCAAAGAATGATCCAACTATAATATGTCAAGTAAAATATCATCTTGATTTTTTTTTTTTAGTAAAAATACATATATTTCGTTAATTATATAAGATTTGCATTACAAATGAGAACACAATCTTATAATAAGAACATATTTAATGTAACTTCTTAAGAGGGACACATGGGATGCATAATCTCAACTCGAATCTATATTTTCATAGAAAATGGTGAATCCATTCACCACTAAACAAAATACAATGTTGACCACTTTAAAAAAATAAGGCTATTAAATGATAGACATGCTAGTTTTTATATATTTTTCATAGAAAATGGTGGATCCATTCACCACTAAATAAAATATGCTGTTGACCACTTTAAAGAAATAAGTCTCTTAAATGTTATATATGCTAGTTTTTATATGAAGTAGTGATATAATTTGGTTGAGTATTGCTAATGTAGTTTTGGATTTAGATTACTATCATTGCCTTATTGGTAGACTACTTGACAATCACTCAATTTTACTTCACTTATCCATTATAATTTCTAAGTCACTTGATGTAAAATTCTTCTGTCTTCCGATTAATGCAACATATAATATTATATGGTATCTTAAGGCAACACTTAATTAGAGTATTTCTTTCTTGTACTAGTTGTCCAATTATGTGTGTTCCTATGATCAACTTGGTGGTCTCTTTAGTAAAGACACCTGAAAAGACGATTTCATCATTTATTGGGCAAGTTAGGCATTAATCTTGACGCTCTAACTTAAAGGATAGTGCTAAGGTTTACAATATCTTCTATAACGTATAGTCTTATATATTTATCATATAATATCTCTAAAAGATTATATATGTGAGAGAACATCTTGGTCTAAAAATATTTATTCTCACTAAAAATTGGTCATTCATCCTATAATTTATCGTAGTCTGATAGCATACATCTTGCCTCATGATTTTTCTTATAGAGAATAAGGTTTATGGATCAGTAAAGCATGTTCGATATTTTTTTATTTCTTCCAATTTAAATTTCTTGATCATGTGCTGATATTTATAAATTTTAGTATTTATTGCTAATTTATAATCTATACACATACACATGAGATTATGTACGAATTCATTAATTATAATAATTTTATATAAATATCAAATAAGGTATTATTATTTAAAATCAAACAATATAAATAATTTCGGTCAACCTATAATTAATAATAAAATACAAAATAAGGTGACAAAGTAAATACTATTATGTAATTATTAATGTTCATATTTATATTAGAGTTTTTCAGTTTTGATTTTGACTTATTAGAAGATTAATAAATATTACTTTATATTTAAAAAAAACATTTATATCATGTTATACTATTGCACGTAATAATGACACTTTTAGTTTTTATTTATTATTTATTCTTTTAAAATCTTAATATTATGCTTTAATTTTTTATTTTTTAGATAATGATGTCTGTGATTTTTTTACGATAATACATTAATTTGTATTAAAATCAAAAGTTGTGGCCTATATGAATATTTGAATTTAATTATTATTTTATTTTGCCGAGAATTTAACCTATACACCCTATTATATAAGCTGGTAAGATATTAACTACACTAATTGTAGTGGTAATAATAATGATTTTAAGTTGGTTCTCTGCGAGCAGCAACACCGAAACATTTGAAACCATCATGACAGTGGGTCAACAATGTAATCATAACCGGAGCAGTGCAACAATCACAACCGTCCAAATTATAATGAGTGGCCTCCCACAGGATCAAGGATATGTTTCTTCCAAGTGGGGCCCATCATTTCTCTTCAAAGTCCAGGATCTCATCATACGCAATCACTCCTCTCATATCTT